GAGGCCAAGACCTAGTTTAGATTACTCTCAGTAATCAAAGAACTGCTGACAGGAAAGACGCTGAGGATGCTCACTGATTATTTACGTAATCAGTGAGTAGATCACTTTCTTGCACTTGTAATTGCTTTCTGTAGGATATCAGACCATGCGTATGACTCATATCTACGACACATACATATGATCCGTATCTATGATTCATACACACCATACATACTATATGATTCACTTGATCCCACTGGATTCATATGATCAATATGACTCATTTCATTCACTTGCATGAGTGACTCGACTCATTCGATTCACACATCACTCGATCCTCACAGTGATCAATTCTAGATTTCATAGTTCGTCGATCCTCGATAAGAGCATTGACTCACTTTTCTTCTAGCACACACTTTACATCACTATTAGGACAGTCACTCCCACAGTAATTACTGTGTTGAAAACAAAAATTTGTTAGTGTACTGTATGAGTACAATTTTTGGGTTCAAAGTTGTATTCAGGTTCAGCCAAACAACTAGCAGTGAMATGGACAAAATTTGGTAAGGCCCGGCTGGTGACCTGAATACAATTTTTGAATACAGTATTCATGTACTACAAGTTTGTACTCAAGGAGGTGCCGTATTTAAGTGAAAAATTAACTAGTGTTTGTTACTACGAGTTTCATAACAATTGCACAGCGTCTTGCCCAGCACGCAAGTGCTCGCAAGCTAAGACTTAAAGCATTAAAACAAACTTATCAACTTTGAATCAAAGTTGTCAACTTCTGGCCCAAGTTGCCAACTATGCTAGGTAGCACTACATAGAATCAGTACTAGCCCCGCAACGTGTCACTCCRGCTGGCCAACAGCTGCTCAGCAAGAAGCAAGATTAGCTGATTTGGATGGGTCCTAGTACACTGCTGTACACAAAATTCTGTAGAAAATTGTGGGTCAAGGCACTGCAGGTTTTGCTGAAAATAGAAGGGTTTTATCACGCGTTCAAAAATGTACTGTGTCCTAGCGTCTTGACCTTTACCTGCCTCCAGTGTGCTGATTCATTGTGCTGCTAAACTGTTCTTTCATTCTAAAAAAACTACTCGGTTCAAAGCAATTGACCATGGGAATCACTCCATTTCAAGCACTTCCACTCACTCTTTTCTAATGTAAGTGGTATCAATCRATAGATCTCTTTAATTGTCGATTAAACAAGCCTTGAACTGTAGAAAACAAGCAAGTGTATGGCTTGCATGGCTATCACCCCAATCGACGAAGTGAACCAAAAGAACAAAGAGAACTGGGACAAGTACATGGAAGAGGTGGAGGAATACCAGTGGAATGGGGGGAACAAGAAGCCTAGATATCCACCATCAGAAGGACAGTGGACTGGTTGCTGGGCATACAAGCTCCATTGCAAGTACCAAGCTGATGGAGGGAACTGTCTGGAATGCCAAAAGGCTTCAGGAACTAGCAAACACCTCACGCGCGATGCAGATGGAAAGCCAGCTTGCTCGTGTCCTATCTGCAATAGCAAGTGCGACGCTATGTTCCTCAGGGGGAACAGGCACAAAGCTGCTGTTGAGGCCAGGGAACAGAAGGAGGCTGCTGCTATGCCAGCAACTGGTGGTGAGACTGCCACGTTGCCTCAGCTCTTCAGCAAGTATGTCGCTAACTCATTGCAAAAYGGTGTGATCGATGCAGCTCCTCAAGCAAATACTGCTGTGGATGATMCAGTCGCTGCTCAAAACGCTTTTGCCTTTTCAGCACACAGGTTGCTCACCAATCCTGATATCCAGGGGAATAYGGCAATGAGACATGCCATGCAAGGAATGGGTCCAATGGGGACTGAGACCAGGGATGGGCTGTCCATTGACGCTCTCAGGAAGGGGAGGACTGTAGGGGATCCAACAGTCAAACGAGCAAGGGGATTTGGTGTTCCCAATCCAAGGGAATTGCAACAGCAGCAGCCTCGCCAGCAGGCCCTTCCCAATCCAAGGGAATTGCAACAGCAGCAGCCTCACCAGCAGGCCCTTCCCAATCCAAGGGAATTGCAACAGCAGCAGCCTCGCCAGCAGGCCCTTCCCAATCCAAGGGAATTGCAACAGCAGCAGCCTCGCCAGCAGGCCCAGCCTCTGTAGCAACAGCCTCGCCAGCAGCATCAGTAGCAGACCTGGCCTCCACAGCGGGCCTCTCTTCCTGCTGGAGGACCTCCTACATTCAACCATCAGGATATTAGGCATTTTAGGAATAAGCTGTCCCCTGTTCCTGATAGGACTGATGATACTTGGTCCCCCCTTGAGGTTGAGCTTGCAAACGCTGCTGTTGGTGGCACTGCTGCGCGTCCTTGGCCTGCAGTTGCAGTAGCAGAAGCTGCAATGCCTCCTCCAGCTCCTGTTTCTACAGTATCTACCAAGCGATCCTACAGCACCACCAGAGGGTCCTCTAGCTTGGATCCTATCAGTATTCTTGATAGCRACAGCGATTGCTCACTCCTCTCCAGCTTTGGTAGCACAGGAAAGCTGGTGGACGTGAAGCCAGTGGTGGTGAAGTCTGAATTCAAGCTTCCTCCCTTGCCCAAACGTCGCAAGGCCTCTGTTCCAGCTACTCCAGCGTTTGCAAGACAGATCAGGCAGGAATCTGTCAAGCAGTCTCTTGGTAACAACACCCCTTCTACAGTTGCTGTGCTGGATCTACTGTCTATGCAGTTTACTGCYRAGGACACTAGTGCTGAGGCCATGGGACTGAAGAAGAGAGCACAGGATATGGAGAACRTCTGTCCTAATGTGGAGCAGGCAACTGGTTGCATGGTGAAGTTTGCCAAGCGCGCTGTTTGCAAAGCAGCAGGGGAAGCAAGCTTGTCCTGCTCCTTCAAACACTGGTGGCTTGAATTTGCTCTCAGTAGCAGCAAGCACTGCTGGCTTGAAACGCCCAGCAGCAGCAGCAGGCCRTGGCTTGGGCCTCAAGCGTGTTGCCAGGYGCCCAGCTTTGAGCAGGAAAAAGCCTGTTGTTGCTGTTGCAAAGAAGACRCCAGCTGTTCCAAGCAAGAAGGCAAGCAGTCCCAGTGAATTGCCCAGTAGCCAGAGCTCAGGTGGATTTGACTATGGAGACAGTGATTGATYGCGTCTGGCTCATCCGCCATCTTGTCCTTCTTACCAATGAATGCTGAAGACTGAAGGCTGAATGCTGAGCGCATYGATTCCTCTAGTGGTGGTTCTTTTCCTCCTGTTTCTCCACCATTAGGATGCCTCGCTGTCTCTTTTGTACAAACAGAGCAGCTTGCGTGTGCTGTTGTAATCCTCCTGCGATTGCTGTTGACAGAACGCCAGGTACCTTATTGAGGTAGTACTACTATTGTAATAGTATAGAGACCATATTAGATTGTAAACTGACTAGATTGCAGACGCGCTAAACTGTAGRCCCAGGACAGCTCAAACGCGCGGCTTGCTGGTCCTTGGGGTATTGCTCAAGTCTATTGCAACTACTCTTGRTAGCTATGATTCTTACTAAAGATAAACTGTATACAAATAATACTGTTGTAGAATGGAAGGATCTTGCGTTGGRTCCATTCCTCTTAAGTATAGGAGGCAATCGATTCAACCAACTGCTATATTCAATCGATTCAACCGACTGTAATTCAATCCATCTAGTCAATCGATTGAGCATCCAAGGAAGAMGCTGCCAGGCAAGCTGCTGCTTCAATAGGAACTGCTGGAATCAAGCCTGTCCAGTAGGATTCAGTTCTGATAGGCCCAGGACAAGTCACCACGCCAGCGAGCCATGCTCCAGGGGATTCCTCCAGTTCATTACAACTACCCCATGAATCCAGCTCACCTGCTGGAGACCATTGAGGTGCTGTTGTTGTTGCTGTGTCCTAATATGTCCTAGGCTGATACAYGCCATCCACAGTATATCCACAGTGATCAAAGGTTGAATCAAAGGGAGCAAGTGATCTAAATGCCTCAGTTCGAATGGTGTGCTCCAGATCTGCAGTGGTCCAGTAAGGCCTTGCCATCTTGCTTACAGCCCCAATCAGATCACAGATCTTGTACTCGATGGGACCATACTTTGGCTGGTAAGGGGGGCGTGGGACAGGGCTGAAGACAGTCCCTCCCCCAGCTGGTCTCACCTCAACTGTTTGAGCTACCACGTTGGTTAGATGAGCTCCTACTAGATTGTCCCAGAGGAATACTYTTTCAGCATCAGTATCCCCTGGCGCTGGATGCTGCTCAATATCAGTGCAGATCTCCTTGATAAACTGAGCAAAGGTCCATGCTGATGTTCCTCCAGCTCTGATCACCTCAATCCACCTCCTAGGATTTTGGATACTTCCCCTCGTCTCTGGAGGAAGCCGCAGATYCCCTGGCTCCACAGCRAAGAGGACAGTGAGCTTGTCGGTCCTCTCATTGTGTCCTATCTTTCTTACTCTTCTTCTTATGAAAGCCCATCTGTATCTGTTGTTTGTCCTTTGCAGGTTGAAAGCAAACTCATCCACATCTATGAACTTCCTTCTAGGAATCCCCACCACACCAAGGGGGGGAGGAAGATTCCAGAACCACTCACATCTCCTTCTATTCCTAAAYGTGAATGCTTGGTAGGCTTCAGTCGATGCCCTCTTCCTGGTGAGCTTCATTCCAGCCAAGCGCCTGGAGATATCTAGTACTCTGGAATAGATCCTCTCCCTTGATTGTAAATTAATGYGGCATACTCATCTGCACTAGCAGAAGGATTGATAGTCAAACCAATAGCAAGAAGCATCTGATCTGGTCCAACAAGCTTGCTCTGGTCACTGTTTCCTGTCATTCTGTATGGATCAAGGCACATGCTCCATCTTGAAATAGACCATCTACTTGCAATAGCAGGAGGAAGACCATCTTCCTTCCTTTGCAGTTCCATCTCTCTTACAAAGACAGGATATCCTCTACTCCCCCCCTTTCCAGGATGAGGCAGCTCAGCTCTTGTTTGTTGCGTTACTCTAGAGAGGCCATTGCCAGYTCTGATCTTTGCTACCTTATCTGCTGGGTCATTGTTCATGCTGAATACTGCTGATTGCGGACGTTGGAAGAAGAAGTTGCCGTAAAAAAGAAGCTACACTGAACACGCAATAAAATAGGTTACACTTGCTTGTTTTCTACAGTTCAAGGCTTGTTCAATTGACAATKAAAGAGATCTATCGATTGATACCACTTACATTAGAAAAGAGTGAGTGGAAGTGCTTCAAACAGCTATTCCCATGGTCAGTTGCCTCTGTAACAAGTTTTTTYGAAAGAATGAAAAGAASAGTTTGCTGAGCAGCGTGCTGGAGGGAAGTTTTCAGGTCCACGACAGTAGGACACAGTACAATTTTGTACCCGGAGACAAAACCCTTCTATTTTGACCAAAATGGCAAGGGTTCCCCCTTRATCCAYGATTTTCTAYAGGATTTTCTACACAGCTTTGTACTAGGATCCATCCAAATAGATCATTTTGCTCCTCGCTGAGCAGCTTCCTGATCAGCTGGATCAGCAGCTGCCRGGCCAGCCGGCGTGACAYGGTGCGGGGCTAGTACTGAACCTATGTAGGCCTACATACTATAGTTGGCAACTTTCACTGCAAGTTGACAACTTCGATTCAAAGTTGATAACTTTGTTTTAACACTTKAAGTCTTTACAGGAGAGMACTTGCCCGCTGCGCAAGAAGCTGTGCAATTGTTATGAAACTCGTAGTAGTATTCAACCGCACGTGATCACAAGCAAAAAGTGAGCTACTCGCCGATTACCGGTTTTTCGGTTTTTCTCTTTTGATTCATTCTTTCTTTACGGAATAGACCAATAGACYACTTCTACTTGCATACTTTTAACAAAAACTAATACTATCGAACATTCGATGGGCATAGAGTCTGTATGGGTGTCCCCAATACWTCACGTAAACAGAAGCATCGACTTCGAAAAAGTCAAGATATTAYTCACGTCAATGGTCTCCTCCGAGATTGAATTTCTGGAAGAGAGGCTTTGCCTTCTGGAAACATGGATCGGAAACACACCAGATGACGACGACAACAATGAAGACTTGATGCAAAAGCGTGAGGAATACCAGGGTTTAATAGACGAGACTGTCCTGTTGCAGAAAAAACTCCGAAAAACTTCAAAACTTCTGGATAAAGAAAGCGACAAGAATATGCTGAGAAAACTTTCCAAGAAGCAAGATCAGTACTTGAATGAAATAGAAGAAATCATGAATTACGCTGAGTCGGACGTATTATTTGAAACAGTCGAAATTGAACCAAACGAACTTCTCGGGGAGCCCTTGGAAACACTAGTGGAACAGCCGGGATTGGAAGGGTCGTCTCTGACGCTATTGAACTTTTCTATTTCTGATTTCATGCCAAGTTCATTTCAACGTGAGCATGAAAACGAGGAATTGCATCCTATCGCTGAAAATAACCGCCCCTCGATTTGTGCAAAACACCACGAGAGCATAGGTTCGTTTGCATCCGGTGTAAGCCTATTTACTATTTCCACTGCGAATAGCAACACTTACAACTACGACGTGAGGACACTTCAACGAAAACTAAAAAAGGTGGAGAAGCTGTTAGCGGCAGAAAATATGGCCTGTTGTAATAATGAAATATCGCAGCTAAATGCCATACAAGTGAAAAAATTAAAGAAGAAACGAGAACAATACTTACTGGCTCTGAAAGATAAGACCAGCAATGAAGTTTTATCGAATCAAAATAAAGTTTCCAAAGATAATGCCAACGATTTTCCATCTTATGTCGGGGAGGGCCTACACGAAATTGATGCGGGAGTAGGAAAGGGCATAGGCGATCTACAGGTTCGGGAAGACGGCGAGGGACGAGAATGTTGTGTAGAAGCGAAAAAGTCACATACGGAACACTATCATGATAGCACTATTAGTGACAGGGGATATAGTAATGAAATCCGTGGCGTGGTATCGCACGACAAAAAAACGCTGGAGAAGAAGCTAAAAAAGGTGAAGAAATTGATAGCGGCCGCAAACAATCCCGAAGATCTCAAGAAATACAAACTGAAAAAGAAAGAATATAGTGCTGCGTTGCAGGCGTTGAAAGCAAAAAAGACAGAGGACGGGGAATCATCATCATCTTGTCTTCATGAACAGCATGAGGAAATAATCGACAAACAAAAGACGCCCGCTGGTCGAGACGAGACACTTAAATCATCGGGGGGTTCCTTAGAATCTACTGATCAAGATAAAAAGGAGAGGATTCAACTATTGAAAAAAAAATTGCAAAAGGTTGTAAAATCGATCGCGAAGGCTCGGAAAGAAAACAATTCGAAAGTATTGGAAAAAATGGAGAAGAAAAGGCTAGAATACCAAAGATCTTTGGACATCGAAGGGAAAATATGACAGGATAGGATTCAGTCAAATTCATGATAAGGGGATAAAATCACCACCATTATATTCCTAATTGGGGCTTTAGACAGATCACCTTACTAGCTGAATAAAAACAGCCCGTATGCAGATACTTCAATGATGTATTATTCTCTTTCAAAATGATTTGATTCTGTTCAGTGGACTTTCTGACAAGAATAGACTTTTTACAAAAGGGAAGAAAAAGACACAATTTTGTAAGAAAGAAAGATATAATCAATGTGGTTTTGTTATCCTATGTATCTTGAAGCAATATCTCCATCTTGTGTGTATCTTTGAACTTTTACCCTATTTCTATTGGTTGAGTATTGTATCAACAAAATGATGCCACTACACATGCAAGTTATCTGGTGGTCCTCTAATCTGTACCTTTTCATTCTCTAAGAGWGGGTTTCTTGCATTCATCCTTTGAGGAAGAGGTGTCATACTGAGACAAATTTGATAATTGATTGTTACATCACTCACAGAGCCATTACAGAGGGCGGGAGTAATGTATTTCTGGTCCATTACTTGAGTAAATTGTGTAGATTTGCAGCTTCTGTTTTACCTGCTTCRTTGGATTTCAAATATGTTGTGTCCTCTCTTCTTGTTGTGTCACCACATGGGAGGAATACTAATAATTACACAGTCCAGTAGTAGTAGTAATGTTKTAGAATTGACAGTAATGATTACTATATGTTCAGTACTATCAAGCAAAAATTACTAATTGTAGTATTTTGAATGAGTTGAAAAAGTTGTATCTTTACAATTATGGCAAGATAGATGAGATTGATGCTTCTTACTACATCTCCAGAGCTAGTATCATTAGTGAAAAGTCTTGGAAGTATTACTGCACTGCTCTGAACTATGCAAAGTTATTGTTACTAGTGATTTCTACAATTTTTGATATCTAGAAGTACAGGGAATGGAGTGATGGAACAAGTCTTTGCAGTGTATGGAAACTGAACTAGATCACAAGCTATTTTGAGTTCAGTCAAAGAACAATGACACTTCAAATGATCAAGTATGATCCCATGGAACTTAGAGCCTTCTTGGTTGAATTCTTTTTGTGCTCATATACTATTGGTCTGTGGGAGCAACACAATAAAGGTCTATACAGTCACACTGTTTTCCAACAGCAGGCATTACACAGAGCACATTTGGCACAGAGAGCCAGCAAACACTTATTTTGAATCTGACTGAAGGCATTTTATTTCCCTTATCCCTGATTCTTTCCTGTCCAATTCCACCAACACTTCTCTGTCCTAGTAGTACCACTAATACTRCTAGAGRTAGTGAAAAATCTACAGGAGCATTTCAGATGCTGCTACTGCTTCCATTACCAATTACAGCAGCCATATAACCTCCTAGTACTTCCCTCTTCTGACCACTACTGTACAACCACCAGAGAGTGACAGTCAAGACATGCTGGTCTTCAATGCATACTTACTCAAAAAAGAGGCAATAGAATAAAAAGGACCAAAATTTTTACACTTCTCTGAGGGCCTCCTGGCAGTACTACCCAATTCCACCAAATCACCCTTGCCCAATAGTACTTTGACTATTTCTAGAATACCTCTGGTCATAGTAGTCCTCTGGGAGTACCACGGTGGTGCACCTAGTAGTTGCATCCTTCTCCTCCTACTTGTAGTTACACTATTTAGAAGTGGTGTTTCTGGCTATTTTAATCCTACTAGTGTTTAGTAGTTCACAGGGCTCAATACAATTTGAATCTTTGTTTTGTAAACGATCCTGTAGTAGAACAAGAAGAAGCTTGCAACTGTGAGACTACTACTAGTCTTAAATTCACAGTATACACAGACTCCTGCATGATGAAAACTCAGAAGTGGAAGAGTTTCACAAAGGAAATAAACATCCAAAACCTTCTTTAAGAATAGCATAATACTGGGATACCACAACCTACTACTAGTACTACTAAAACAAATATTGTAGAGAGGAATCTTGTCAATGCTGGTACTACTAGGTTCTGTGCACAGTATAAGAAGAACCACCATCTGAAAGCAATGTCTCCCACAATGATAGTAGTACTAAAGAGAGGAACATCTGTTACATGTGTGGGATAGTAGTAGGTACTGCTCCTACATTCAGCATGTTGTGTGATAGTCCTTTCTGTAAGGTTCCTCCTTCTTGTTCCTCTTCATCTTACTAGTAGTAGTAGTACTAGTACTACTACTAGTAGTAGTATTAAATTGAAGAGGTGACGGAGGCTGTCCAGCACCAGCAACGCAGAGTATGGAGGAGGRTAAAGGGGGTACACCTCAACAGCAGAGAGAAACAGTAAAAGTACAACTAGTTTTACTATCACAAGAAAAATKAAGCAGTTTGATAGTTTTGCCGGTGTTACTATGCATTGTTGAAAATGAATTAAAAAGAAACCTCGTAGCTAAATTGTTCTTATTTGTACCGTACGATGCGTACGGCTAAAGGACGAATACTCGTACTTATGAGTACTGGCGTAAAATGCCAAGGATGGAATATGAATTTTAACGCTTTGTGCGCGCGCGGGCCCATGTTAATTATGATCCATGCGTATTTCTATCASGATGATGAATGGTGATGCGGCCATCCACTCCTAATTTTGTCATCATGWTGTTGTTATTCTACGAGGCACGTCCTGTAACTCGTGCCTACTAATTTCAGCAAGGGAGAACCSTTTGTTGATGACGAGGTCTCGTTGGTCACGTGGAAATAGATCTCAAGTTTTTCTTCACCTTGTGAGAAAAGTGTGCATCATTCATCAAAAATTTTACCGGTACGTACTTGTACCGTACAGTTCGCTTCCGTAAGAGGTCGTACAACTTGTCCTTCGTACCTTACTCTACGGTAGAGCAAAGTCGACTTAGAAACTTCTGTACACTCGTACGGTATGTACTGGTACTTTACCATAGGGTAGATCAGGATTTAGTTGCAATTCCTCTTCATTTTACTCCTTTCTTATTTCGGTACGGTACGAGTAGTGCCACGCCGCCACCACCTGTTCTCGTCTGCGAAGCTTTAATGAAAAGATGACGTTGATTCAGAGAAGCCTTTCGAGGAAATCCCATYCTCGATAATTGTAMTGTCTTGTYTCACAATATTTTGTAACTCGATCGAAGTTGCACTCGGTAGACTTGAATTTCATCATGTGCAAACCTGAGATTTCGAACGAGAAGGCTWTCGAAGCCATGGGAGGTCAATTCTGTGTCAAAGATTTGGCGGAAGAAGACAAATGGTTAGCAACTTTCGACTTTCCTGCCTTTTCGAAAGAAATTAAGGAGTTAGGGAAGAAACTAGAGAAGGAACAAGGCCCTGACGATGTTGCCCACCTAAACAAAATGATAGGGTGGTCCAACAGGTTCGCTGCGATCGGTCTTCTCACCATGGGTTTCGGGGTGAATCCTATTACGGTTATCTGTTTGTCGTTGTACACTTTCTCGCGGTGGACCATGATCGCACATCACGTATGCCACGGTGGGTATGAGAAGTGCCATCCCAACAAGAGCCGATGGTCTCGATTCAAGTTCGGGATTGGTACTTTTTGGCGCAGATTTAACGACTGGTTTGATTGGATGATGCCGGAGGCGTGGAATGTAGAGCACAACACCCGGTAAGTTTGCTCGAGGAGTGCTAGCAGGAAGACATCGTTGCGACATCGTTGAGAAGCGTGGGCGTGGGAACTGCTAAAATGTTGTCTGAATGAAGTCTCTCACGCAATTTCTTGTGGTCCGGCTCAAACTTGATTCTGGTCGATTCCTCTCACTGGTCCAAAATCCACAGCCACCACTACAATCTTTCCGAGATTCACGATCCTGATCTAGTGGAGGAAAACGCCGCCATGTTGCGCAACCCAAACTTGCCCATTGTTGTCAAGTATGTCGGTGTGGTGTTCCTTGCATTGTTCTGGAAGTGGTTTTATTACGCACCCAAYACTTATAAGGAACTCAAACTAGCCAAGATGAGACGCGAAGGAAAAAAGATCCCCGATGACGTCGATCCTGCTGGAGCCGTGACAATTCGTTCCTGCTTAATGGGGACCAACTTCTTCTACTCCTTCGCTGAGTTGTTGGCTGTCGTTCTATTGCCATACCTTGTGTTCCATTTCTTCATTACMCCTCTTCCCTATTTATTTTTGGGCAAGCATTTTGGATACGAAGACACCCTGTACTGGAACGCTGTCAAGAATCTCTTTCTGGCTGAACTCTTGACCAACGCCCATGGATTTTTGGCTGTTGTGACCAACCACGCTGGAGACGATATGTATCGCTTCCGCAAGGGATGCCGACCCTTTTCTGGATCTTTCTTCCTCCGTCAAGTCCTCGCGAGTGTCAACTTCAGCATGGGGACCGATGCYGTGGACTTCTTTCACGGGTGGTTGAACTATCAGATTGAACATCACATGTGGCCCAACCTTTCAATGCTTAGTTATCAGAAATCGGCCCCACTCGTTGAGGAGATCTGCCGCAGGCACAACGTGCCATACATCAAACAAAACGTCTTCTGGCGGCTGAAGAAGACCGTAGATATCATAGTGGGCAATACGTCTATGAGATGGTTTCCTGAAGATTTCGAGGACAAATTCCTCGACACTGATTTGAAGGTCGAGAAGGCAGCATACAAATCTGAATAGTCGGTTTGGAGCCAAGAGATATACAGTACTTGTTAAACTACACTACGAAGTATTATTATGATCAAAATTACAGGGGTATTTTTGTTTTTCTTCCGAGACTGGTCAAAGCGCCAGCRCAAGAACTTGTCCTCTCAATTCTCATTAGTTATCTCTTGTGAAACATGAGGAGTAGTTTAACTTTTCGATTCGTAGRATGGTGATGTCATCATCACCGCGTGCTACTTCTTGAAGATGGTTCATAACAATGTTCTGTTGCGTGATGAAAAACGTGACGGGGCCACATCACGCCTCTTAACTAAAGGAACTGACTTTTTCCTCACTTTGTTCCGGCAAACTTCGTACCAAAAAATATCAGTTGAACAAAACCAAGAGATGTTTTCTACTAATCAGTTGGAAGAGTGATTTGTTTCATAAAAAAATGGATACTKCTCATGCATTGAGCAACGATGATTGTTTCGAATCAAAAATCAATCTGAGAATCGCCTGCATCATCGAACGTTGCGGCTCCAAGTTGGTGGCAAATCACTCAGCTTGATCTTCTTGTAAGATGCCGGCGACGCACGGAACTCCGTTCCCAAAATCTCTGAAAGAATATCATTAGGTGTTCCTGTCAAAAGTCTTTCAAGCACTGCTCTGCTCAGCATTCCATCCCTTTTGCATTGTTCAAATGAGTAAGTTATCGATTTTCTCCTCAGATCTCCCTCTGGAAGCAAGTGATTGCAAAGTTTAAACCAGAATGCATATGTGTAGCTATCTGCAGAAATCAAGTCCGAGGTCCGAATGTCGTTGTACGTCTGAGCAGCGATTTGGAAAGCTTTCAGTTTGTCTCCTGCGTCTCCAACACAGGATGCGGCAGAGTTCAGTAAATAATTATATGGATAAGCATTTGGGCGAAGCTCCGGATCTTTATCTTTGTTGTATAAAACGTTGAGCTGAKAGAGTAAGTCTCTCGCCTTCACAATATTCTCGAGCGTCGAGTTTTTCGAAAGAGAGAGAATTACCATTGTATAAGTTCGTAAGTTAGGCTTCATTTTCGGGTCCTCCTTTTCCTGATAAATCCGCCATGCTTCATGGAAAAGATCAAGACTTCGTTCTGCAGCAGATTGCACTGTTGATTTGGAGAAGCATTCGATTACAGTCGTGTAGCTAATGATGTCAGCATTGCAGAACTGAGATAATTCCAGCAAATTAAGAATACTCAATGCTTTCTGTGGATTGGCATTTTTTCCACTCTTTGCAATCTTATTGATAGCTATGTTGTAATAAGCTGTGGCTGGTCTCAACGATTCATCACCCTCTTCCCATAGAGTATGCATTGTTTCTAAAGTTTGCACAGCATGCTCAGCTGCTTTCTCGCTATTGCTTGCTCCCAACGCTCTCAAAACGCAATGATGTGTAAAACAATCAGGGGTTACCGCGGGTTGCTCCTCTTTGTTTTTGTCCATAAAGTCAAAAATCCGAAGAATTTTCTCGAGATTATCCGTAGACTTATTATCTTTGAGATAACCATAGAGTACAGAGTTGTACGTGCAAACATCCAGAGTCAACGATTTGCATTTTTTTCTGATATCATCAGCTTTCCAAAGAACTTCCTCAGCTTTATCCGTTCGGCCTATCCGAGCCCAAGCGGATATCACACCATCTGTTAAGATAGGACCAGTTGTGAAGCGAAGAGCAGAAAATAATTTTWAAAATCCTTAGTACAGGTTTTGACATTTCCCACATGTTCACATGTTTAGAACTTACTGACTGCAAATAGCTCGGGTTCTTGGTCAGGTGAGCTATTTCCACTTTCAAAGTTTTCGATACATTCATAAAGTAGTTTTTGAGCTTCTCCAGCTGAGTTCGACTTTGTCCACGCTAGTATTGCGTTCGTATAAGACTGACTGTTCGGCAGTGTTGATTGTAATGCTCCATTCCTTTTTTTGATCAATTTCATTTCCCTCAGAATACGATCTGCATGAACAGGGGCGTCATCCTCTTGACTCTTCGACCAAGCCTCTAAAGTCCAATCATAGCCCTGCAGTTTAGTTTCATCATCGGGTGATTTTTCGAGCAACCTTTCTAAATTATTTTCTGCCATTTTAGCACAGTTCCCAGATCTTAAATTTCCTTGCTGCCATGCCCATGCATTTATCACGTAACTAAAACTTTCTACAGAAGGTTCAATGCCTTCRTTCTCCATGTCGTGTAGAAGTGCCTGTGCCTTTTCTGCGTATTGGCGATCTCCTCGTGGTGTAGAGCATGAAGCATACGCTTGGAGGGCTAAATTACAAGTGTAGGTAGAAATTTTCCCTATTTGACTTTCCCATAGCTCGTCAATTAGCCCTTCTACCACATCRGCAGCACAGACAACTGTCGAGTCGCCGTCGATCCACCTTAATCTACCGCGTCGGCAAAGAGCATTGAGTACTATTTGATACGATTCCTCATTGGCTACTCCAATGTTAACCATATGTCGAAGCATTGAAGCTACTCGATTGGCACCATCAATATCTTGGGATAAGATCGCTGGTCGATTTCTCCTGTCCATTGGTAATAACATTGTGCTCGAGTTACTGGAGGAATCATCGAAGGCGTTTTTGCGAGATTCCAAGACCCGTTTCATATCCATATGGAATCTTTCCGCAGGATCTACCGAACCATCTACTCCATCTTTGACATCTGCATCAACRACCTTTGCCAGGGCGACAACAGTGTGTAAACTCCTACTCAATGTATTCGGTTCGTTTCTAGAAGAACAAATCAATGGAGGCGAACAACCAAATCCCTCTATTGAGGCCGGGAGAACTGCCATCCAAAGCAAAGTCGAGGATATTGTTCTATACTTCATGAGGCTCTTTGTCTGCATTTCGTTGTYTATCTTGTCGGGGAGCAATTCGAGTCATGAAAATATATTTGTCTATGACACAACGTACAGAAATGTTTGCAATAGCGCCAGTATGCTTTCAAGAAATCATCGATACTCATCAAAATATTCGTAGATGTAGCAAGAACGTATCAGGACTGTGTTTGGTACGTRCAACAGTACGTACGTTCGGTACGAGCTAGTTTGTCGTTCTTTTCAAATGACAGAAACGGATTCATTCCGTGATGTTTAGATGTTGACGCACGCAAGAAATTCAATGGTGGGGACGCGCATCGCATCGTGCAGCAATGGCCATCATCTCGACGAACAAGAAAAAGTTTTCACCAAAAATGCAACTGGGTCGAATTTTGGGTAGACGCCCCGATATTCTTGGTCAGCAATTTTTACCTGACAATACTATCGAGTTTCATAACAATTGCACGCAATCTAGCCCAGAGAGCAAAAAGTTTTAATTTGAAGTTCTAAACTTCAGTTTGAASTTAAGAACTTCAGGTAGAAAGACTACTATGTCCTACTGAGCTAGTTTTTGGATGGCATTCATGATTGATTGTTGCAATTGTCCTGAACCATTTTTTTTKTTCTTTTGATGGGAATCGTGATTCGGCCATTCAGTCATTTTTAAAAACTAGCTCAGTAGAACCTGGTACATGATGTATGAGCAAAAGCTCATAGYTTGTTCAAATGGAGGTTTAGAACTTCAAATTATTACTTTTTGCTCTCTGGGCAAGACCGTGTGCAATTGTTATGAATTTCGAAGTAGCCCCCACCATCCCTCAAAGTCCACACTGTGGAGTAMAGGGAAATAGTGAAGATGCACTAAGGAATAAATGTCAAAAAGAAGGCCATTTCACTCCATAAAAGAAACTATATCATGTACCTTTTGTATTGAAAAACAAAGAGACCACCACAGCAGCGGCATGATCCTCAAGATCAGGAGGAGAAAAGAGCTTCTTTTTGTCCAGTCCTACTAGTAGTACTAGTAGTAGTAGTAGTATTTTTCTTAAAAATACTACTATGTCACACAAACCAGATTGGGTGTAATTTGAATTTTGTGTGGTCAGAACCSTCAATTTTTCTGGTTGTATAGTTAGATTTTAATTAAAATATCAAACTCCTATTTTTTCTGTTTCCAAGAACGTGTTTTATAATTTACTACTACTAGCAATCACTTAACCTTGGTCTCACTAGTAGTGAGAAGGAGAAAAAGTAATGAGGATTTAGTATCCTATGATTTTGACGGTAACAACCCAGTGATAGGTGCTGAGATTTGGGGCTCAAATCATCACTTGGTAAATTAAATATAATATATTAATATTTTTTTAAAGAAGGAGAAAAAGTAACAAGAACAAGATTGACCACGGAGGCAACAAGAGATTGAATTTTTGTAGGTTATTTACTCCTTACTAGTAAGAAGTAGTAGTAGTAGTAGTAGTAGTAGTAGTAGTAGTAGTAGTAGTAGTAGTAGTAGTAGTAGTAGTAGTAGTAGTAGTAGTAGTAGCAGCTGCTGCAGCTGCTGCTGCAGTAATGGTAGGTTTTGTTTACAATGAGTTACTTATTGTGGGGTGACTATCTAATAGTGATGTAAATCATTTGCTAGTGTGCTAGAAGAAAAATGAGTTGATGCTCTTATCAAGGATCAACAAACTATGAAATCTAAGACTAATTGGAATGAAGATCAAGTGATGTGTGAATCAAATGAGTCAAGTCACTCACACAAGTGAATCAACTGAGTCATGTCAATCGTATGGATCCATAGGATCAAGTGAGTCATATATTTAGAGTGTGTATGAATCATAGGTATGTGTCATATCTATGTGTTGTAGATATGAATCATACCCACAATCTGATATCTTACGGACAGCACCCTCCCGTGATCTGTGATGTGTAAATCGAGTAGATCAAAGCAGAAAAAGACAAGGAAGGAGGATATCAGTTGGATGGAACAAGAGCAAAGTGCCCAAAAAGTCAGCAAACATGACGATTGTGAAGGACCCAGCCAAGAGGTTTAGTGAGCGCATCTGCAGGGTTTATTTTACCACTGGTGAACTGACCTGAGATATAAAACAATTTTTGCAGCAGAAACAGCACCATAGAATTATGCTTTGGTTGAGCTTTGCGCAGTTTGAGTTTGAGTTTTTGATTTATACAATGGCAACATTTGCTAACATGATTGCAAATCCTATGGTAGATTTTGTTTTGGCTTTATATTCACATATGTGGCATCAACTACACAAGTGATGGTGGCATTGGTAGGTAATGATGGAAATGGTGGAAGATTTCTGGTAATGGGATTGGAGAATCATCAAAGTTTCCATCCAGCAGTTTGTTGTCTTGTAGTATTGTAGTTTTGTGATATTGTAGACCCCACGTCTTTGTGCATGAAAGGTACAGAGCAACACCTTTGAGGTATTTGAAGTGTAGGTCCAATGGGTTCAAAGAGAATTTGGACATGGTGGATACAGCAAATCCAATGTCAGGATGACAAACATTGTATGYATATAGGATTTTGCTGATAAGATTCAAATCAGCAATGAGAGGAATGTCCATCACCATGTCTCTGTTGTAGACTAACGCTCTTGGTGAGGTCTTTACTGCTGCATTCACTGCACACCTGGTAGCATGCATTGCAGAGGCAAGGGCATTGTCGATGATCTGATCTTCATCAAAGTCAGCTTCCTCAAGGGGCTTGCTATGAWGGGTCGCTCGTAGAACATTAGCAATAGTCTGATGCACTCTTTCACAAACTKCATTTGCCTGTGGGTTCTTGACAGTAGTTTGGACGATCTTAATTCCATATTGATTCAATAACTGTTTAAATGGGGTTCCGATGAATTCTGAGCCATTGTCATGGATWCACCTGTTGCGGTAGGCAAATCCATGTTGTTGTTTTAATTTTTTGTTCTGCAGATCCTTCTGGTGGACCATCTTCACTGAAGATTCAATCCAGAGCCTTCTCGGGTAGAGGAGCAGTTGAATGACTGGTTAGCTTGTCTTTGGGTGTTGTCCAGCCATGAGATCAAGAAATTTTCTCAATGTAATCTTCACAAGAAATTTTGATGTAGTGTTTTGTCTGTTTGATATCAACACCAWTATATGATGTGGCAAGTCCTAAATTTTTGAATGAGATTTTCTTTTCTTTTGGGAGTTGGAGTTTCTTGCCAATTTAGTTATATATTTCTCAAGTGACCATGTGCCTCTTCTTCTTTTGTTGTCGTTTGTGATGTAAGAGCATTTATTGCAAGCCTTATYATCTCATCAGAAACGATGTGAGATGGGATGTGGAGACCTGTTCACAGTGTAGTGATTGCATGTAATGTGGTGTAGTTGATTTTGGCAGTTGYATTGAATTTGTCTGTTGGTGTATGGAAGTTGTATTCATCAACTTCTTTCCATCTTGGAACACTTGAGGCTTTAGCAACAGGGGCAAATTTGATTTTGAAGGTTGTATCACCATTTGCCACTAGTGATTCAAGTATTGTAAGTGCGGACTGTGTACTGAAGACAGGTTGATTATTAATTGAAACAATGTATGTGCCATAGACTCATTTCATGTAGATTTGTAAGTGGAGAACATGGCAACAGCACTTGATGTCTTGGTGATGTCTTTCAGGAAGGCGCAACCAATTAGTTTGTCTTTGTCAAGTTGTAGTCCAAAAGTGGGACTGTTACACTTTGCACAAACCTCTTTGGTAAGAATATTCTGAAATGGAGATATAAAGAAATATAGGTTGTTGTCTTTAGTTTCTGTTTTAATGGAAAATATGTTTGAACCATTTTCAGAACGTTGTAGACRAAAAATGATATCTTGTGTCAGTAGTTCATTCATGCTTTCATCAAAGCGAGCATGTGATGCAATTTTGGCACAGTTGGTTTTGATGTCATACCTTGTCAAGTATTGGAAACGATGTACAGACAAAAGACAGAACCAGACGACCAGGCACCGCAAAAAGTCAGCTGCCCCACTAATACAATACCCTTGCACCTCAACAAGCCTTGGCCTCATTCTYGAAAGTATTGCGGTGAAGGACTGCCACAGTAGGATGAGACATGATGTGAAACAGGAAGATTCACCCCATCACATCACACTTGTCATTGCCTCAGCACAAGCTCACCACAATACCAAAGGAATCCGGTGAAAATGCAATGAATCACTGCCAAACAGAACGTACAGCATCAAACAAGGCAMACCGCTGTGCCCAACTACAAAGGACGCTCCGCCGCGTCCAATAGCACGTCCAACAAACCTGGCTAGCAACCACAAAACCACAAAACAAACAAATCACCGCCAAACAGAATGTACAGCAACAAACAGGGCGCACTGTTGTGCTCAACCCCCATAGGACACACCACCGTGCCCAKCCACAAAGGACGCTCTGCTGCGTCCAATAACATGTCCAAAAAACATGGCTAACAACAAAACCATAAAGCAAACCAACAAAACACTCCCACCATGTACCAAAAATGAACAAGCGCCCCCCACACACACACAAACTAAACCATAAAGCAAAACAATTGCCAAACAGAATGCAAAATTTGCCAAACCACCACCAGGGACAGACACCACAAGCCGCAACCACAAACCCACCAACCAGAAACCCCATCACCTTGACAACCCCCCCAAAAACGTCGACCACGACA